GAGTGAGGTAATATTTCCTCATTACATGGTTGGATTTGTCGTTTGATCTTGGTTCTTTTGCTTGTGCAATAGCTCCATTATTATCACAAAATAACTCAATTCCTTCTAGAACACTAGGTACGATGCCTAGCTCTGTTAGGAACTTCTTTATCCAAACAGCTTCCTTAGCTGCTTCTACCACCGCTAAATACTCTGATTCTGTCGTAGAGTCTGCTATAGTGCCTTGCTTTGAACTCTTCCAGCTCACTGCTGCTCCATTCAGACAAAAGATGTACCCTGATTGCGAGCGGTAATCATCTCTGTCGGTCTGGAAACTTGCATCAGTATAACCTTTAACAACCAACTCATCTACTCCTCCATAGACCAAAAACATTCCTTTAGTCCTTCTCAAGTACTTTAGGATGTTATTAGTCGCAGTCTAGTGTGCTTCACCTGGATTTGCTTGGAATCTGCTACATAGGCTCAGAGCAAATGCAACATCTGGTCGAGTACATGATAGATTCTATAGCCGAGGCATAAGGTATGCTACTCATCCGCTTCAACTCATCAGGCTCCGATGGGCACTGACTCTTGCTAAGTGAAATGCCATGTGACATAGGAATGAATCATCTCTTAGAGTTTTCCATGATGAACCTTGCAAGAACCTTATCAATATAAGTCTTTTGGCTCAGTCCAAGCATCCTTCGAGACCTATCTCTATGGATTTTGATTCCTAAAATGTACTCAGCTTCTCCAAGGTCTTTCATGGAAAAACAACTTCTCGACCATTCCTTGACTGACTCAAGCATTGGTATGTCATTTCCTATGAGTAGTATGTCATCTACATACAAAACCAAGAAGACTAAGCTACTCCCAATAAATTTCTTGTAGACATAAGATTCTTCTTCACTTTTGAGAAAACCAAATTGTTTGATTGCCTCATCAAATCGAAGATTCCAGCTCCGAGACGCTTGCTTCAATCCATAAATGGATCTATGAAGCTTGCAAACTCTTTTGGGATTTTCTGGATCCTCAAAACCCTCAGGTTGTGTCATGTACACATCCTCCATCAAGAACCCATTCAAGAAGGCGGTTTTGACATCCATCTGCCAAATTTCATAATTGTAATGTGCAACAATCGCCAAAAGTATCCGTATTGACTTAATCTTTGCCACTGGAGAAAAGGTTTCATCATAGTCTATACCATGTATTTGTTTGAATTCTTTTGCAACCAGTCTTGCTTTATAGATATAGACATTTCCATTCTTGTCTGTTTTTATTTTGAACACCCACTTGCATCCAATAGGTTTAACCCCATCAGGCAAGTCGACTAGGGTCCAAACTTTGTTCTCAGACATGGAGTCCATTTCAGATTTCATGGCCTCAAGCCATTTCTCAAAGTTTGGGCTCGTCAAAGCTTGTTTGTAGGTAGTAGGTTCAGAATTTTCCAAAATCAATATTTCAGAGTCTTTTGTTAACAGGAAATCAACCAACTGCTTGTTTGGGATCCTTTTTCTATTCAACCTACGTGGGGCTTGAGCATCAATAGAAATATTCTCTTCAACATCTTGAAGATTTTCGCATGAATTAGATTCAAGTGGGACGACATGAGTTTCGCTTAATGAATTAGCTTGCTCCGACACCTGACCTGTCATAGCAGAGTCATGCGCCCTCGCCTCTGACGCGATTTGATCCACATCCATTTGTTGCTCATCTTGAATTTCTTCGAGAACTATTTTACTCCCACTTGTCTTTCAAGAAATAAACTCCTTTTCAAGAAAGACACCATCACGAGCAACAAACACTTTGTTCTGTTGACGGTTATAGAAGTTGTAACCCCTTGTCTCCTTTAGGTATCCCACAAAGAGACATTTATCTGATTTGGGTGAAAGTTTGTCTGACAGTAAACGTTTTACATAGACCTCACAACCCCAGATTTTAATAAAAGATAAGTTTGGAACTTTTCCATTCCACATCTCATATGGAGTCTTTTCTACAGCCTTTGACGGGCTTCTATTTAGTGTGTGTGCAGCTTTTTATGAAGCATTTCCCAAAAAGAAATTAGAAGATGAGCAAGACTCATCATTGATCGAACCATATCCAGTAAAGTTCGATTCCTCCTTTCAGACACACCGTTTAATTGTGGCATCCCTGGCGGAGTCAACTTGTAGGGAATAGTTTCAAGCCTTTAAAATCCCACTAGCTTGAACCCCACTGTGATCCTACACTAAAGTACGGTGGCGTCCAAAAGGGAAGAAGATAGAGCAAAAGAGTCGCCAACAAGTTTTGAAGGAACTTGTAAACCGATCATAGGATGAAGGTTACACCCCTTAACGATCCAAGAGATCGTCAACTCCATAAGGTCATGAACCAAATAAGGGTTCGGGGATGATGGTACAAATCCAACCTAAAAGAGATTGAACCTGCCCTAATAATAGGCCTCTACTTTATTCTGCTCGTATTCATGTGCGCTTTCTGACTAACATACAATCAATAGGATTAACCCTAAACCTGTTTAATCTATGTTGGTTGAATTTAATATACAAGTAAACTATTATTGGCGATCACTTGAATTATAATCACAATTAACCTAACAAGATTATTAATTATCTTATCAAGCGTGATTGCAAATACCAATTCCCTTTAAACATGCAATAAAAGGTGATCAAGCAATAACAAATAAAATAATAAGCATCAAGCAACATAATAAATAATAAATAATAATCATAATCATAATCATAATCATAATAATCATAAATATGAGGGAGAATATAGGAAACATCATACTTTTAATCATACTTGATATTAAAGATACCCTAGACATGATACTAGGAATCAAAATAACAATCTAAGCATGATATCTACATCATAAAATCAATTAATCAATCAAAGTACTTACTTGGATGCCTCGTACCTCTTTCTAATTACAAAATACACGCGTTAGTAACTTCAAGGAAAATAATAATCAAAACAATTAAATTAAATAATTGAAATAGAGATTTGGGACCAAACCCTCAGAAATTAAAACCTTTCACGTCTAGGGCGAAGGCAACTTCGAATATGGCTAAGTGTTTCTAGATCTTATGAATACGGAATTTTGTATTAAAAAGCAAGGTTTAGAAAAGAATTCTAAAGAATTAATGTTATTTGAAAATTGATGAATGAATGATGTAGATGATGAAAACTAATGAATGGTAATCGATGAATAATTTGTGAATGAAGAGAGTTGATTATTGGTCAATGAATATTGATCATTGGTGAATACTTAAGAATAAAGAGAATTGGTGACTCTTGGAGATAGTTGGTGAATGAAAACGGAGTTTTTGATACGATATTTATAGAGAATATCATCCAAAAAAGATAATTTATCAAAACAGAGTCTAAAGACCACAAAACCACCTTGGCGCCAGCCCTGGCTCATTAGCGCCAAGACCAGTGGCTAGCGCCAGGCGCCAATGGCTGGCGTCTGGCACCAATCCTGATTCCAGGCGCCAAGGCTGGGGTTGGATGCCAATTTGGATTTCAACGCGTTTTCGAAATTCTGATAAAATTCCCGTACTAGAAGATAAAATAATATAATTTCAGTCGAAAATGCTATTTGATCTAATTAAAACTCTGAAGAATCCTAATTGAATTAAGAATGATAAAAACCTTCTAGAATGTTCTAGAAGACCAAAACCATTCCTAATTACATTAGGAATGATAAATCATATTAGGCCCTCCCCTAGATCATTGGGTCGTACTTAAAGCTCAAACCAGGCCCAGTTTAGTAAATTGGCCATAACTTCCTCAATATTCATCGGAATTGGGTTTATAATATATCATTGGAAAGGTCTTTGCAAACCCCATCCAACTACACCACTACCGGACCCATATCATGGACCAAACAAACTGGATTGGCTATTTTCTTAAAATAACGTTTTCAAAAATAGAGAGAAGAGAAAAGAAAAGAAATAAAAACTTTCCGCAACACTAGACCTTTCTACACTTTCGTTTCATTCGATTATGATTCGACGTGAAAGGCACTCATCACTGGGTTTGGTTTTGGGGAGACACAAATGGGTGTCTACACAACTGCGAAACTATTCCACAATCCTTTAGATGATCATCGAATTCTTGGGTCAAATATTCGCCACCACGATCGGATTGTAATGCTTTTATTGTTTTACCAAGTTGATTTTGTACTTCATTTTGGAATTCTTTGAACTTTTCAAAGGATTCCGACTTATGATTCATTAAGTAGATATACCCATATCGACTTAAATCATCACTAAAAGTGATGAAGTAACTAACCTTTGAACTCATAGGCCCACAAACATCTGTATGTGTAAGTGCCAAGAGATCATTGGCTCTTTCACCCTTTCAAGTAAAAGGTGACTTTGTCATTTTCCCCAACAAGCATGATTCACATACATCAAATGATTCATAATCGAATGACGTAAGGATTCCATCCTTTTGTAACTTTTGGATGCGCTTTTGGTTTATATGACCCATCCGGGAATGCCATAGATATGTTGGGTTTAAATCATTCGACTTTTGTTTCTTGCTATTTATGTTACAGACTTGTACTTTCCTATCAAGTACATATAAGCCATTAATCAATTTTGCATTAGCATAGAACATGTTATTGTAAGAAATGGAACAACATTTGTTCTTAATATCAAAACAAAAACCTTCATGATCCAAAACAGATATAGAAATAATGTTCTTAGTAATTGACGGAACGAAATAACAATTATTAAGTTCTAAAATTAATCCAGACGGTAAATGTAGACTATAACTTCCGACGGCAAGTGCAGCAACTCTTGCTCCATTTCCGACGCGAAGCTCCACCTCGCCTTTTGCTAGTTTTCTACTTCTTTTTAGTCCCTGCACATCATTAACTATGTGAGAACCACAGCCGGTATCAAATACCCATAAAGAAGTAGAAGTCAAATTAACTTATATAACATAAATACCTGAAGTAGAAGCACCTGACTTCTTGTCCTCCAAGTACTTGGGGCAGTTTCTCTTCTAGTGACCTATCTTTTCACAGTAGAAACATTTGCTTTCCGCAGCAACTTTTGGTTTAGCGGCCTGCTTAGGCTTTTCAGAAACTTTGACAATTTCTTGCCTTTGATTTTCTTGCCTGCCCCCTTCTTTTTGAAACCCTTTCCCTTTTGAACCATCAAAACCTCTTTCTTTGGTTCTTTGGGAATGTTCCTTTCAGCATTGACAAGCATCCCATGCAATTGAGTCAAAGTCTTTTCAGACTCATTCATGTTGAAAGTCATCCTAAACTGATTAAAGCTGTCAAGCAATGAATGGAGAATGATATCAGTAGCCAACTGTTGGCTATAAGGGAATCCAAGACGTTCCATGCTTTCAAAAAGAACAATCATTTTGAAAGCATGTTGGAGAACATATTCACCATTTTCCATCCTGCATTCCAAAATCTCCTTATTAATCTCATATCTCTCAATCCTGGCCTGTTTCTAAAACATGGTCTTAAGCTCTTGCATAATGGTGTAAGCATCTTTGGTCTCAAACCTCCTTTGGAGTTCCGGTTCCATAGCCACCACCATCAAGCAAGTGATTGGAGTAGACCTATCATAAGCCTGCTTAGCACGATGTTTATCAGCATCAGATGATTCATCAGTCACTACTGGAAGTGGGTTTTCTAAGACATCCTCTCTACCCTCCGACTTTAAAAGAAGTCTTAGGGTCCTTTCCCAATTGATGAAATTTTCTCCGTTCAGCCTATCCTTCTCAAGGAAGGGACGGATGCTAAAAAACGAGTTGTTGTTGTTATTAGTCATGATATCTACAGACAGAAAAAAGCAAAGTTCAATTTTATGTTTATAAAAGCACCTAAAACAATAGTTTCTAGGTGACTTAGCACGCTATTCACTTTTAATGTCCCAATTTGAATAAGTGATTCCAAGATCCTATCAATATGCAACGTTAAGCAGACGGAGGCCTTTTCTTAAAATTACATTTTCAAGGCAAGTAAACTCTTTACTAATTACAACATTTGTAATTCTTGGTTAAACAGAAAAACATCTCATGCTTAAGTGTCCCTCTGCTTCAAAATCCAAAACGCTTTTGATGTGGTTAACCAAATTAAGTGTGCAAAATTCGTAATTTCACCTCACTTCCCAAAATTAATAACAATACCCTGCGGAGGCACGACCTATTACTATTAATTAAGGGTTAATAAGTACTTTATATTTGGTAAAGAAAATCTCAATATTTGCGGGACCTAAGTTTATTACGTCGTTATTAATTAGTGAACTCTAGCGCATTGATAACATACATACAATAAACTTATAAGCATTTTAAGAATAATAATAAAATGCAAATTAACTATGAACTAGTATGGCCCCTAATCCTAAGAACTAAGCCTGAATGAGCATCTCCTTGGACTCTTCATGGATCTCCATCCACCTTCATCATGGGCCTTCTCATATGGGCTCTTCTTTGGATTAACTAAGAATTTGAATAATTAAACTAATTCCTAATTAAATAAAATTACAAAAATACTTAACGATACGCAGATCATATTTAAATTACAAAAATACATAACGATACACAGATCGTATTTATAATTTAAATCTAGGGCCATACTAGTCATTTATAGCAATAATATATCATATATATAAAAATGCCACATAATAATATCACATATTATACTTGCCAATAATTAAAATATCAGATATTCTTAATTATGTCAAGTGGATAAATCAATTAATTAGGAAATCCTAGAATATAAATCATATTTGATAAACTGGAATCCTAACCACTTAAAAGATTTTATCCTAAAAATAAAATAATCATCTAATTTTAATTAGATTAAAAAATCAAATTATGTAATTATCTTATAATCAATTCAAAACAACCTTAATTGGAATTGCTCAATATCCCCTTAAAATCAGTTTTTCAATATTATCCAAAATCAATAAATCAGAATTTTTATTTTTTATTTTGATTTATTTTTATCAAATTTTATTTATTTATTTTTTTATTTTTTAAAAACTGAAAACAGGGCTGCGTGACTGAGCTTGCTGCCCAGCGACGTCTCAGCCGCTGCAGCAGCCAAGCCGGAGCCCAGCCACCGTAGTAGCTGGCCGCCGCAGCCAGGCGGCCGCCCAGCCACAGCAGCGCTGGCTGGCGCACCAGGCAGCAGCCCAGCACGCCAACCAGCTCGAGCAGAGCTGAAACCGTGCAACAGTTGCAAGTTCAGCTATGCTCTTGCCCAACAACGACTCCCCTGCCGCCCCTCCGCCATTTCCGACCACCGGAGAAGCCACCGTGGCCCACCATTAGGTGATTCTACCACCCAGCCGTGGCTGCTCCCATTCAAGCTATTAAAATTTCTTTTTTTTTTGTTTTTTTTGTTGTTTGAGTTAAATTAATTTCACAACTTTTGCAAAATTAATTTTGGTGATCTAATTATAATTAAACACAAACTCCTTTATGCATAATTTCAGAAAAATTAATCAAAATCTACATTTTAATTAATTTAGGGCTTTTCATATAAAATAATTCCCAATTCATATAAAACCAATTTTACATGAATTAATTAATCATATCTAAACAATTTTAAATATGAAAAATATATTATATTGAATAAATTTAACAATTAAATTCGAAAATTAGGGTTCATAACCATCAAATTTGAAATTTTGGGGCTTTAGGGTTCTTAAGAAAAATATGGTTAGAGGCTATTGAGCAATTAAATTCACAATTTAATCAATTCCAATCAATTAAAATCATACTCTAATAAGGTTATTTTAATCCATAATTCAATTCCTCCCCTTAATCAAATTAAAATTAGCCTAATACACACATCAAAATAATCATATTATTGTGACCAGTAAAAATTATATGCAAGGGACTAACTGATACCATTGTAGGGTTTTAGGTACTCTAAGCGAAATTTCATGAATCACATTCATACGCACCTAAACAGGACCTCATACATATACAAATAAAGGATCACATAATAGTTTAGAATTAACCTTTGAAGCGTGAATCCTCTTAGCAATCTTCTTCTCTACCGGAGATAAAGAGCCTCAATTGTAACTCCTCTATTTGGTCCACTGGATTGAATCAACACTCCACCAATGCTAGTTGGACGGGAAAAACCTTTCACCTTTCTTGGAGTTGAGAACCAATTTTAGAGAGAAAATATTGAGAGAAAACTTACGTAGTTTTTCAGAAAACTGAATACAGTGTCTTTTTATTATCCCTAACTAATTAATATATAATCATATTATTATTAATTAGGTTAGGGTTTTCTCTCCCCTTTCCCCTTTTGGCCGGTCACCCTAAGGCCCACTTTGGGCTTCGAGTTTCTTTATTGACCTAATCCTAATGTGTGACCTTGTAGGATCTGTTTCGGGGTTTTCTGATGTCCTGCGGGAGAGTTACAATTCCGAGACCGGAACCGGACGCCTGTACCTGCAAAAACGGAGACTCCCGGTGGTGGGAGCTCCGCCTCCAACGGTCAAGTTAGTACTTGATTAAGGAGTAATTAATGCGGAAATTAAAGTGATTGGGTCTCTCTAGGTGAGAGTGTTTAGTGTAGGTAATCTGCTTTGTTAGCGTGATCAGCCTGTTATCTCTGTAATCTCCCTTAATGAGGATTAAGGGAGGTATTTATAACCTTGGGAAACGTGCCAATCCTAGGTTTAGGTTAACCTAGGGCTGATTGGGCTTCCCTCGGAAGTTGGGCCTGGGTGGCCGGTTTCTCCATTAGTTAGGAGTATGCCACGTGTCATGACATAATAGGTCCAAGGTGGACGAATAAGCGTGTGCCACGTGGCAATCCCTGACAGTTCCAACTGGGGGACACTTGGCAGGACCTGATTGGCCCACGTGGCGCATTCCGATTGGTGGGAGCAAAATCCCCTAATCATTTGTCCCTCACAGGTGGCACGTGACTGGTCACGTGTTACCTGTGACAGGTGTCGCACTGTAACAGGCGACAGCCTGCTACAGGTGTCAGTCGGCAAAAGGCCGAGAGATTTTCACGCCCAAATTTTGAATTCTGAAAGTGACCCCTCGCCTTCTCACTTCGCCTATATAAGGGAGTGTTGACTTCAGTCATTTTCACACTTGAGAACTTTGTGAGAGAACATTCGGACCCCTGAACTTGCTCTGACAATTTGGACCTTTTCTGCCTACCGCCTGTTCTGTCAAGCCAACTGCAAAGGATTTTCAGAACTTCATCAATCGTCACTCGTTCAGGTAACTGTCGGTTCTCTTACTCTTAATTTTCTTTTTTATTCTATTCTTTTTTGAAATGGCACCACTGAAGCACACGACACGACCTAGGTTAGTGATCAGCCGGTCACCGGGGACGGCTGAATCTAGGACTAGGAGTGCCGCCTGCCCTTTTCCGGACCCATCTTTGCCCTTTATACAAAGTCCGACTGTATCTGTGTCTATGCAGAGCATGATGGCCAGAACAAAAAAGACTGCCAGGATCTCAAACTCAGACGGCTCCTCCCACAGGGTGCCGATTAGTGAAACATCTGACCAGGCGCCAGATGTGGAGGTGAAACAAAGCGGCTTGGAAGCCGGAAGTTTTGAGGGAGGAGTCAAAGTGACCCCTTCCCATTTTTCAGTTGACAATTCTTCTTTCTCTCCTACTCCTTTTAAAGGAGAGGAGGCGGGCCCCTCCGGGAGAGGGGAGGAGTCGTCCTCTTCGGACTCGTCAGAGGACGATTCTGAGTCTAGCTCTTATGGCCATGCTTCTCTGGACACAGAAGAGAAAAACAGTCGCCTGCAAGAGGCGAGGCTTTCTCACGCAGTTGAGAAAGGGGACGATTGGGCGGAGCCATCCGCCTCTTACCGAGAGCAAAATACCCCCTACTACTGCACGGTACCTCGGGGCCGGATCACAGCCATGCAAGAGAAAGTGGAGAGCTTTATCGCAAACCACACAATGGGCCCCGACTTTTTAGTATTCGTGCCGGATCCAGAAGACACAGTCGTCTGGCCTGCTGGTACCAGTTACGATAGCGCCTACTTTAGTTGCTACGAGGCGGCCATCAAGGCTGGGCTGCGATTCCCACTACATCCGGCTGTTCAGCGGATCTTGGATGGGTATGAGTTGGGGTTATGGCAGTTAGCCCCGAACTCCTCGGTCAACGTACTCGGCTATGTGGCCGGGTGCGAACTGCACGGGGTGGAGCCGAGCTTCGAGGCTTTCGCCCACATGAACTACCTCAGCCGGACCCCTAAGGCAGGCGGTACCGGCTGGTATCAATTGACGAGCCACAGGGGCTACCTCATGACGAGAGGTAAAGCAAACAAATGGAAGGACTGGCGGTGCACCTTCTTCATCATTGAGAGTTCAGACACAGAGCTGAACAAGCGCCTCAACAGGTGGAACAGGAATCCGCCCCTTCTTGCAGGCGGCCGCAGCATGCCGCCTGTTCCCCCCAAAGCTAAGAAAGAGATCCTGGATAAAGGACTCTTTAAAGTAGAGTCGAGGGTCGACTTTACTTCAGGGGTACGAGAGCAAGTACCCCTGCACTGCGTCCCGAGCTTCAAATGGCTCTACGACGAGTACTTTTTGGCCGCCTGTGGCCTCAGTAGTCGGTCCTCAAGAGGTAGTCGGCCTGTCGAATACTTTGATGTTCCGTGCATTTTTGTTATAACTTTTATTAACTTGTTGTTTGTTTTTGCAGCGGACGCTATGAGCAAGATTACCGCCTCCAAGGCTGCGGCGGCCATGTTGCGGGCCTCCATCATGCAACAAGCTTCAACCGACTCCCCCAACAAGGGGGCACCCTTGGTGGGCTTCGAA